GGGCCATGGGCTGGGCTGAGTCCATCTCCTCGGTACCTACAGTAGCAGGTACAAGCAGGACAAGCCAGGGAGATGCCAGACAAGGGAGGGAGAGGGAAGAAGAGGAGCAAAGGGGAGACGGAAGGGAGACCTCAGAGGCACCCCCTGAGGCAGGCTGTTTAGTGATGTTAGCCCACTGGCAACAGGGAGCCAGGGCCAGCTTCAGAGCAGAGGAATAAAGTGTGGGGTTTCTTTTCCAGAACATTCCACTGGCATCGCTGGCTCCTGAGGGATCTTGGGGAGCCCAGCACCTGGTGTCTGGATGAGGAGCTCTCTCAGCACAGCCAGGGGAACCACAGGGGCACAAGATCAGACCTTTCACTGCAGCCAGGAAGGCTGAGCTACTTCCCTGCAGGCAGAGAGGCCAAGAAGAGCCTTCGGCACAGCAGAAAAGGAGGACGCTCATCAGAACCCCATGCAGGATCTCCCTGGCTCACCTCAATCTCATGTTTACATGCAGCAACTTCCAGCCCACTGACTAGATTTCCTGGCAGCCACTCCAGGGGCCCCAGGACCCAGCAGCCGCACCCCTAGGGCAAGAAGAAACCAGCACCTGCTGAGGTACTGAGGCTGGGCAGGCCAGGCTCCACCTGTCCGTGGGAACTCAGAAGCCCAAGCCCAGCCTGGTCTCTGTTAGCACAAGCAGAGCCAATCATGGTACAGGCTTTGTTTGGCCAGAGTTAGAAGGAAACCTAAAATCATCTCTGCCTGGCTCCCTCCCCTGTCAGGAAACAGAGGTCTGATAAGGACGGAGGAGCCTTCAGGATGCTGCTTTCGGCTGCTCAGATCCTAGACTGAGAATGAGGGAGAGGCCTGGCCATGTTGGCTAAGGAGGCCCTTAGGAAGAAGAAGGGGTACAGGGGTGCTGTCACCGGGGCTCAGGCTTGGCTCACCCTGTTCCCCGTCCCTGTCCCCTGTCTCCCAGCGCCAGTAACTCTCTGAAGCCACGCCCCTGGGAGCCAGGTGCAAATGATCTAATGTGAGAAAAGAATGACCACTACTGTACTTGCCGGATGTCAGACGCTGTGCAAGGTAGAAATTACTGTGCCTAATTTATAGTTGAGGGCTCAGGGAAGATGAGCCACTGGCCTTAGGTCACCCAGCTGGTAGGGAGCAGAGTCTGCCTGAAACAGCAGTGTTCTTCCACCTCTCCTGCCTCCCGCCTCCCTCCAGCCTAGACTGCCCCGCTGCTACTTGCTTTGGGGTGGGAATGTGCCCTGTGTCTGCTCAGCCAGCACCCCGTGGACTCGTGGCTGGCTCTCTCACCCCATGTGCTGGGATCCTTCTGTGCTCTCCCTGCCCCTGCCCTGCAGAGATGGACCCCATCAGACATTGCTGAGACAGCTTGAATTGGCCCTTGCCCACCAGGATCGGCTGGCTGGACACATTCCTGGAGAACTGCTGGGCAACAGGCACTGTGAAATGCATTTTAACAGAAATGTTCTGCAAGCACTAATTTGGAAAAATAAAGACTCAGTAAGATCTGCTGCTCTCAAGAAAGGTTTAAAGTCCATTTTGAAAAAAGGAAACCAATTGCTATCCTAGCAGGACCAAAGCAAGTTGATAAGGCCCCTGGGTGGATTCAGAAGGAGCCTTTTCTGGGTGGTACAACCTCAGCAGGGCACAAATAGCCCCTTTATGTAGCAACAAAAAAGTATCCCTTCCACCAAGACCACCCCCTCCCCAAAGCCACAGCACCCGGCTGGCACGGTTCCCACACAGCCACTCACCCCCACCACGCTTTCCCTGCCTGTCCCCTCCCCACTAACGCCCGTCTCTGCTGTGGAGAAAAGGTCATTTTGCTGAGTCGCTAAACATTACACATTAACAGCCCTAGTGATTTCCAGCAGCTTCAAATGCCGGCTTTGGCAAAAAACTTCTTTAAAAGGCCATCCTCCCTTCTTATTCCATAGCGTTTACATTTTGTAACTCTTAACCCAGAACTGCTTTTAAGCAAAGATATGCAGTCTTTCCACACATGTCCCCATAAAAAGGAAAATCTGGGGAGCGTCTACATTAGCCGGCTGGGGAATTTCTCTAGAACAGTAGTGTTGGAGGCCGCAGCCTCCCAGCTGGGCCCTGGGTGTCAGTCCTCAGGAGGGGAGGTCCCCGGGAGAGGCAGCATCCCCATTCTGTAAAAGCACAACTGCTACTTTTACTGAGCTCTCCATATGTCCAGGACGAAGACTAGCAAAGGAACTACAGCTTATCACATTTGACAGATTTACCCCAGAAGGTAGCTATGACTATTATACCCACTTCCCAGATGGGAAGCTGAGGCCTAGGGAAGCCCAAAGACCTGCCCACCCCTGATTCCACAACCCTTTGATGTCATCTGCCTCAGGCAATGACAGGGAGTCTGACACCTCCCACGGGCTTGAGGTCCTGCCATCCTGCCTGGGGACATCTGACTGCATCCTCTACCATCTGAGCCCTGGAAAACCTGAGGCCTCAACACTTATTTTTGTTATTTTGCATCTCCCTGAACCCTGTACCCTTCAATGCTCAAGATCCCACTGCTATGGAGGGGTGCTTTTTGGTGTTAAATCCCCCCAGGTGGCCCACAACCATTTTTAAAAGCTGGATGCGCTCCAGTGGCTTCTCTCCTCTAGCAGCAGGGTCAGCCCGCCATCTAGCGGCTCATGAACCTGTAGCGGCCAAACTGCAGAAGCAAAACCTAGGATCTGCGGCCTTTCGAGGTCATGTGGTCCACCTGAGGTTGGAAGAGTGGAAATCCAAAGCCATGCCTTAGAATCCCATCCACACTCTGGGAGGCTAAGGTAGGAGAATCACAACTTTGAGCACGGCCTGGGCAACTTCATGAGAGCCTGTCTCAAAAAATGATTAGGGATGTAGCACATCAAGAAGGGTTCAATACCAGTATAATCAATCAATTAATCAATCAATCATCTCCAGTCTCCAGGACCAGGCCTTGGCCAAACCACTGATTTCCCTGGTTTTGAGGAAGCTGCCAATCTGAAACCAACCCTCAATTCCTGTAGCTATGAAGCGAAAGAAGTGTCTCATTCCTGGGATGATCCGTATTCCTGGCCCTGCAAACTTTATTCTGTTTATCATTTTGAATAGGTAACTGTTCATGCGGCAGAACATACGAAAGACACAAAAAGCTTTGCCCCCAGCCTCCCACCCCCCAATCACCAGTTTCTATGGCTGCTATCTCTGCAGAGGACATCCCAGCCTGGGGACTGACACCCGGGGCCCAGCTGGGAGGCTGCGGGGCTCCTGGCCCCAGTTCCTGGAGGCCACGACTGCCAACACTACCATTTGCCCAGCCAGAGATTTTCTGCCAATTTACAAGGATACACTTTTTTTTTCTGGTTCTAGGGATTGAACCAAGGGCCTTCACACTGAGCTACATCCCACCCTTTTTTAGTTTTACTTTTTACTTTGAGACAAGTTCTTGCTAAGTCACTAAGTTGCATTCCCCCGCCTCTGCCTGCCGAAGTGTTGGGATTACAGGCAGGTACCACTGCTATACGCATGCATGGTAGCATAAGGATTCACAGGGCTCTTAACACTTCACCAAGGAAGTCACTGCCCATCAGCTCGTGAACAGCACCCTCACTCTTGTGTAAAGCAACACTGTACCCTGCCCCAAGTAGCAGTATCTGCAGGGGCAGTGTTTATTTAGACACTCTGCTGTTGATGGATGTTACTTGGTTCCCAATACCCATTGCTATAAGACAGCAAAATAAACTCCTAGAAGTAGACTTGCTGGGATTACCCGCTGGGATTCGTCTTGATCTCATGTACCAGAAAACCCAACATAATCAGAGTTTAGGTATGTAGGGTCTCGTTAGCGCGTGTCAAGGCAGTCTAGATGAGAGGCACATGGTGGCCCACCAGTCACAGGGTGAGGGTGTGTGATTTTCAAAGTACAAAATCACCCTCTCCAGGGGTCATACTCTCTTGATTTCCACCATCAGTACACAGAATTTCCCTGCAGCCTGGCCAGCATCACACTATCACGCTTTGTTTTAAATTTCCCATTTAATTGAGTGAACATGGTATTTATTATATTTTAAATTTGTGTTTCTCTTTTTCTGCGGTGCTAGGGACCAAAACCAGGGCCTTGGCTTGCTGTCTCCTGCTGAGCTGTACTCCTAGATCATTTCATCGCCTTAAAAGAAATCCAGTCCATCATCATGTGCTCCTCACCCTGACCCACCTCCAACACACATCCCTGGGCCAAGTAACCGCTAATCTGATTTCTCTTTACAGCCCTGCCTATTCTGGACACATCATACCCATGGTATCTTGCCACAGGTGGCCCTTTATGGCTGACTCCCTTCACTTAGCATGACAGTTTCAAGGTTCTTCCACATTGTAGCAAGCATGAGTGCTTCATTCTTTTTTGTAGTCACTTAAGACCCATTATAGATTGTGAAAACCAGAATTAATTTTCCTGTTTCAGTGCCCTTTATCTAACTTTCTCCTCTCCTCCCCTCCCCTTTCCAGTCTCTCTAGAGACAGCTATTCCATTCCATTCTCTATGAGATTGACTTTTTAATTTCCACCGATGAGTAAGAACATGTGGTATTTGTCTTTCTGCATCTGGCTTATTTCACTTAACGTAATGACCTCCAGTTCCATCCATGACGCTGCCAATGACAGGATTTCATTCTTTCTGTGGCTGAGTAATATTCCATCGTGTATACAGACCTCATTTTCGTTATCCACTAATCCGCTGATAGACATCTGAGTTGATTCCATATCTTGGCTACTGTGAATAGGGCTGCAATAAACATGAGAGTGCAAATGTCTCTTTGGTGTAATGATTTCATCTCTTTTGGATATGTACTCAGCAGTGGGACTGCTGGACCATATGGTAGATCTATTCTTAGCTTTTTAAGGAATCTCCACACTGTTATCCATATGGCTATACTAATTTATATTCCCATCAAAAGTGTAGAGTGTGTTCTCCTTTCTCCACATCCTCACCATGTTGATTTTGTCTTCTTTGATGACAGCCATTCTGAGGAGAGATAGAAATGATAACTCACTGTGATTTTTGATTTGCATTTCCCTGAAGATTAGTGGTACTGGGATTTTTTTTCATACACTTGTGAGACATTTGCAGGTCTTCTTTGGAGAACTCTCTATTCAGATCTTTAGCCCATTTTAATTGGATTATTTGGCTTTAGATGTTCAGCTTTTTCAGTTCCTTATATAAATCCCTTGTCAAAAGGATAATTTCCAAATATTTTCTCCCATTCCATAGTTGCCTCTTAACTCTGTTTATTGCACCCTTTGCTGTGCAGATACTTTTTAGTTTAGTGATTGTCTGCTTTTACTTTTGTTACTTCTGCCTTGGAGGTCCAATCCAAAATATCTTTGCCTGTACCAATGTTTTGAAGTGTTTCCCCTGTTTCCTTTAGTATGAACATATCTTTTTATCATTCATTTGTTCAAAGATTGTATTGCTTTAAATATAACACAGCATTTATAAGGCTAGAGAATGTTTTATTATTACTCTATTTAAACTAGCTCAATAAAACTGATGCCAAATAAAATACGTGGAGTATGGCATCTCAGAAGTCACATCTTATTGATCTGGATTAGTTGCCTTCTTTCTAGGTCTCGGTTTCCTTTTCTGAAATGTGAGGGCAGTAGACTAGACGAGGGTGCGGATAATTTGGGGAACCCATGTCTGGGCTTCCTCAGACCTAGGAATACCATGAAATTATAGAGAAAGACAGGAAGGTCCTCAATCTGTCTAGGACTCAGTGTATCTTACAGATACCAGGCCTGGCCTGCTGGAGTGGGCTATTTCCTTCATCTACATCAGAAGAATTAAGCACAGGATCCTGGAATCCCCCAGTGAGGTCTACAGCCAAGGGTATGATGTCCTTTTTTTTGTTTTCTGAGACAGTGTGTTGCTATATATTTCAGGCTGGCCTTCAACTCAGTGATCCTCCTGCTTTAGCCTCTGAGTGTTGGGATTACAGGCAAGCAGCAGCACACTTGGCCACTGAAATCAACTTAGAGAGTCACGAGGAAAGAAAGAAAGAAAGGGCGGGGGTAGAGAAAGGAAGGAAGGAAGGGAGAGAGAAAGGGGGCAGGAAGGAAATAAGGGAAATATCATGAATTTAGTTAAAAGCATATTCAAAAAAATATTTACCTGAGACACAGCAGTTGAATTCAGCCAGGCTTGGTTCACTCTCTCTGAGCAGGAGCACGGAATCAGATGCCAAGCTAGCAGGGCTGCCAAACTGAGAAATAAAATACAGGACATCCAGTAGAATTTGAGTTTTAGGGCCAGGGATTTAGCTCAGTGGTTCCGCTACCTACCTCACAAGCACAAGGACCTGAGTTCAATCCCCGGAAAAAAAAAAAAAAATAGAATTTGAGTTTTAGATCAACAATGAATGTTTTCCTATAAGTGTGTCCTAAGAAATGTTAGAGACGTGTTTGTGCAATTGTGTGCCACACAATGACCTTTCAATAAAGGGTAGACCGTGTGTGTGACAGTGGTCTGTAAGATTATCATCACCTAGGGACTTTGTCTCTCTTGGTTTGACGTGCCCAATGACACATTTCTGAGGACTGTATCTTCGTTGTTAACCAGCATGTGTCTGTGCTATGGAAGGATCCATTGCTTATCCGAAATCAAATTTAACTGGTAGATGACATTTTATCTCCACATACCTTGACCCTCCTGCTGTCAGAGGACTCAGCAACACGTCAGCTTCCAGAATCCAGTGCTCTACCCCAAGGCTAGCAATTGGCACAAATTGAGAAGTGAGGGGAGGGATGTTAAGGAACAACGAAGATAAAAAAGAAAAGATAGGGGATGTGAGATTGACCTTATGAGAGCCTGAAGCCGGAAGGAGCAGGTGACTTCTAATCTAATCATCTCTGGTCACCATAGAAACCAGCTGTAAAATCAGCCAGAAGGAACTAGTGAACCAATATCCACTGTCTCTCTGCTTCTCTTGTCTGGCCTGGCTCCTCTGTCTCCGTTTTTCTCCCCCAGGACCTAACTCAGCCCTCTTCCTCCCCAAGAGGGGGTAAGTCCCCTCTCCATCCACAGCCTCAGATGGCTGTCCTTCAATGCCATCCTGCAGGGACAGAGGAGCACAGGACACTCAGGCCCTGCCCAGAAAGATGTCATGTTCTAGTCAGGGGACAGGGTACACAGGAGGAAAAGACCCTGAGGATAATACACCAAAAACTTGTTCTAAAAAGAAACAAAATCAAGTCTGACCTGGCCAGTCTACATGTTTCTCCATCTGTCCCAGGGTAAAGTAAATTTCTCCTAGTGCAGAATATGACTAAATGGATTGGGAAAATATTCCGTCTTTCAAGCAAGTCAGGCTGGTGAGCAGTAAGCTTTGAATATATTTTGCAGAGAGCATTTGGTTTGACTCTGGAAATTAGAGGCTCACTGAAAGCAATTTGCAAATTTGTTCAAGATGTCTCCAACTTTGGGAGGGCAGGTCAGAAGCCTGGATTAAGCTCACGCAATACCTGAGAAGTCCTTTCCCACACACAGCCTGAGGTCTCCCTAACTCCTGCTGGCTGGGCCCCGATCTCCTAACAGCTGTACAAATTCTCCACCGGGCAGTGCGCTGCATTTCCACATCAGTCCTCTTCTCCACAGAGCAACCTACGAATATCGTTCCCATTTACAGATAGGAAAGAGGGATTCTTAGGGATTAACAAATCCTTCGAACATAATCACTTTGGTTTCCGTGACACCCGCAGCTCAAGGCCTGCCCTAAGGACCTCATGTTTGGAGGTGGGGCCTGGTCAGAGGGGGCAAGTCGCTGAGGATACTGATACAGGATATGATACAGGAAATTAAATATGAAATATTATATCTCCCAACCTGTCAGATGTCTGAATACGCCAAGCTCATGTTCCCTAAAAATCAAAGAATGTTCTAGGAACAATGGAGGTTAAGAGTAGGAAAATATTTATTGATAGGATAGTTTCTGAGAGACAGGAGGGGGCCTGAATGGGTAGCCCGGGACCCCACTCTGCAAGGGAGCTTTGTAGAGCAAAACCCACATGGGTAAAATGTGGGTTACAGCTATAGCCATTCAGTAAGATTACAAGTACAGTCACATAGGTAATAGTGGTCCAGTTGAGAAATAAGTCACATACCAAGTGTGGACAGAAAGAACAAAAGCTTCTTGTAGGAAATGATGGGTCCAAAAATCTTTGGTCATCCACTGAGGTGGCTGATGTCTATCTGGACTTCATGAAGCCCAGTGTTTGTCCTCTGAGGAAGTACACAGGCCTGGTCATCTCGTCTTTATCTCAAGGCCAAGTCTCCAACAGATGTGTCTCTGGCCAGTTGTGATGTGTTTCATCTTTTGTCCTGACTCTCTTAAGGGCCTGGCCCTATCTGACTGCCTCTAATATCTCTCTGTCTGACTTAGCTGTCTATAATAACATGACTTTGAGGGGTATGTTCCTCTCTCTCTCTCTCTCTCTCTCTCTCTCTCTCTCTCTCTCCTTCCCTCCCTCACTCTCTCTCTCCTTCCTGGAGCAACCCCACTCCCTCTTCAAGTCCCTGCTCAAACCACTCCGGAATTCCAGTTTCACTGGGCCAAAACCTTTACTCCATAGACCACAACCATTGGCTGGGCACTTTCTAAAAGGATTTGCAATTGTAAATATGTATCTTCTGCAGCTCAGAAGCAGCCCAGGAAGATCTGGAGCCATTCTCAGGAATAGAACCATAAAAAAACAAAACAAAACAACAAACTTCAGTCTCTCTAAGACTCCATGGAAGAACAGAATCCTAACTTTGTTACAATTACCAGTTGTTATGGTGCAAATCTAAAATGCCCCTCAAAGGTCTCAAGTATTCAGAGGTGAGGCTTTGGGAAGGTGATCATGGAGTGCTACTCATCAGTGGAGAACCAACTGACCATGCATGGATTGAACTCTCTGAAACCATAAGCCAAATAAACACCTCCTTTAATTTACAGCTGTTGGGCATTTTGTCACAGCAACAGGAAAGTGACTAACATGACAGTCAACAAACACAACTGGCCCAGACTCATCTACACTAACTAAGCTTTGTGTTCTACTTCTGCCTATGTCCCAACCCTCATGCTCCCCCTTAGTTACTTCAATTTAGTTGGCTTTAAAAATCACCAATTCTGGAGGTCATGCAGCTGAGCTATGTATTATTAGTTTCCCACCAGTGCTGCTATAGATAATACCTCTGATACTTTGGCTGTAATGATAACAGTTGCATAGGCTCCTTTTAGGGACTCAAAGGCTGTTTTTGTTAAAACCACCACTCTTCACTTGGGTCGCTGCAGCTATTCAATGGATGGTATTTTGAAGTCAGAAGGCTGAAAACTCCACCCAGAGAGTGTGCTAATGACATCTTTCTCTGAACACCTGTCCCATCAAGAGCCATGAAATGAAGTTGGATTACACATGTGCATATGACTGATGATTTCCCTTATGATGACTTTTCCCCATGCTCCACAGCACTCTGCTCCCTTGGGATTTTTATGTTTGGTTAGTTGCTTTGAGGTGGTTTCAAAATGTGTAGTCCAGGCTGGTCCTGAACTCATTATGTAGCCCAGCTGGTCTCAAACTCACGATCCTCCTGCTCTAGTCTCAAGTACTGGGATTATAGTCATGTGCCACCATGCCTGGCTCTGATTCTTTATCCCATAAATATCCCCAAACCCTATTCTTGGGGAAGCAGATCTGAGACGTGGGAATCTCACCTCCATGCCACCCTGTGAATAAACTCATTTGCAAAACTCATTTATGTGATTGTTTCACCTGGTGGGCAAACCAGTCCTGGTCCCCTAAAAGGACTGCTGTGAAAACTGAGGCCATGGAGGTCAAGCTCTGGGCACAGGCCTGACATAGACCGGGTACCTGATCCAAGACACTTCTGATTGTCACTGTCACCCCCTGACTCCCTGGCCCCTTGAGAATCTATCCTTTCCAACTCCCTCTTCCCCTTCTCTCACGGCACATGGCTACTCACTCCTTTGCTCCACTCAAACTCCTGGAGGACAGTGGCCTTGTCTGGTGTTATGTCTTGTGTCTAGACCTCCCCCTAAAACCTCATGTGGTCATAGGTGGAGCTTTACAGAGGTGGCTGGATCTGGAGTGTGGGATGCTGGGCTAAGGGTGTGTGATCACTAAATTAGTTCACTGACTGGTTTGGCACAGTACTTGATAGGATTAAGGGTGCCCCACCCTGGGTGTATAAAATATAAAGGACAGAAAAGGCTAGAGTCGTCACCTGTCACTTGTTGCTTGCTGCTTCTTGCTGCCTTTTGCTTTGCTGCTCTCTGCCCACTCTACGCTGTTTCTCCTCTGTGATGCCCCTCTGCCCTACAGTCTGCCTTGGAGCCAGCCACTTATGGACTAAGACCTCTACAAACTGTGAGCTAAATAAACCTTTCTTCCCTTAATTTTGGGTGTGAGATATTTTGTCTCAGCAATGAGAAAAGTAACAATCTGGCTACTCTTCAGGGTCGCACTCCTGGCTCTGGGCCTTCAATTTAATGGGCTCTATGTGTATTTGTCAATAAATCCTCCTTTGTCCCAGGTTCCATAGACAGCCATTTGATGAGTGGTTAGGACATCTTGAGAAATTAAAATTCATTTTGTGATGTAACTGTAGAGACCGCTGCTAGTGACATCATGTTGGACTGGGTGACACCAATATCATTAGTAATGTTTACTTTGGGACAGTGCCCTTGGCCTGGACAAGCAGGGAAAATGGTCCAGAGCCCTATTGAGTGAGTCACTGTGGCCCATAGGAACTGCTTCCCATGGAAGGGGGACTGTCAGCTGGTGTGGGCTGCAGTTATGTTTCATACATCTTACTGCCCGGTGTCCCAATAAATACGTTTGGATAAATGAATGATACCTTCAAAGTCACATAAAACAGGAAGTGCTGCTACAGACAAAAAGCTCAGAAAAAAACTTTCCCCGGGGTTTCCTATCTCCCTGCTGATCAAAGACAGCCAGTTCCGATGAAGGAGAGTTCTGTAACATCCACACGGGCTAGACAGGCTCCTCCTTCACTTGCACCTCAGAGCCACTGAGCACACCATTTCTTCCTGCAGGAAAGCCCTTCCCTTGTCTACTAGCTGGTAACCTCCATTGTCCAGGGACCTTCTTACTTAAACACTTTCTCCAACGGCTCTTCCTGCTATAGATAGCTATGGTGCAGATCCCTGAGGGTTTCTCCGAGTCTTCACTGGCAGTCTGGGGGCAAGCAAGAGGAAGCGGCAGACAGGCCCTGCGTCTGTGCCTCAGTAATTAGATCCGCACTAACGGGAAATGTGTTCAGGAGTCGAAGCAGTCCCCAAAGGAGTCTTGCCTCTCTGGTATGACAAGGGGTAGGACGCTCTTCAGCACACCTGAAGAGGAAGGTAGACAGCTGGTGCAGGTGAAAACAAGGGGTAGGATTTTAAGGCCAAAAGTCCTCTGCAAACAAACCAGGGACAGCCTAGCTGCCTGGATGGCTCTGAGCAGCACCTAAATCCACAAGGGAGCTCAGCCGGGCAGTCTTGGTGCTGAAGGTGCGCACCTCCAGAGACTGAAGAGTCTGAGTCCAACTCCCACCCTCTCCACCACTCTCAAGTATGACCTTAAAGCAAATCCCCGGGCTTCTCTCAATTTTACCTGAAAAATGATTTCCCTGGCACCTGGAACAAAATTCCTACCCCACTTTGCCGCCAGGAGAGCAACTCAGCGGGCCGGGATCCCCAGGAACACGTCCCAAGCCTCCAGGAGTTCCCTGACGGCCCTGGAGAGAGGACGTTTCCACTCCGTAGCTGGTGTCAGACGTGGTCCAGCTCAACTCCTCCAAAGGGTTTACAAAATGTGCTAATATCCACACTACATCTTCAGTGTTTAGCCCCTTTTACAAACAGGGAGGCTAGAGGCTTGGGGTACAGCTCGGTGGTACAGCGTTTGCCTAGCATGTGCGAAGCCCTGGGTTCAATCCCGAGCCCCAGAAAGAAGAAAAAAGGCGGTGGGAGGGGCGAGGACTACCCGGCTGGGAACACCCAGTGGGCGGATACCTGGGACGCTTTCCCGGGCGCGGGGCGGGGCCAGCTCGGGTCACGTGACGCCCGGCCCGGAAGCGCTGCAGCTGGAGACCCCCGGGTAACCCGGGCGGGAGCAGTCGGGAGCTGTCGACTCCTGCGAGCCCAGCGATCCCCACCATGGCCTGGACCAAGTACCAGCTGTTCCTGGCCGGGCTCATGCTCGTCACCGGCTCTATCAACACGCTCTCGGCAAAGTGAGTCTGGGCCTGGCCAGAGGGCCCCGCGGGCTGGATCTGGAGTGTGGGATGCTGGGCTAAGGGTGTGCGAGCCCCTGACTCCGCTCTGCTTTCCGGCTTCACCCGCTCTCGCAGTGGCGGGGGGG